ATATAATGTACTATACACTATACTTACTCATCTTCTTTGTTAACAGTTTTACCCTAAAATACAGATTCCATAGGCCGAGAGTTTTAGTCAGCCTTGGTTACTTCTGTAGCCCCTGGACCCAGAACACTGTACATCTTTGGCAACTTTTTTTTAATTGATACCATTATGATATTTGTTTGGTTTTTATTTTTTTGGCAACTTCTATGTAATACGTGAAAGAATAAATGAAAGAATGAGGCCCAGTTGCTAAAGGACAATGTAACACGCTGACTTTAGGATCCCATCATCCTGCAAGACACAGCTGTGTTTCCTTCCTGCCTCTCCTATTCTGGGACTTTTTTTTTAAGGTGTTTTTTTTTTTAATGAGACTATGATCAGACTGATGTATATATTTTGTTTGTAACTTTACTCAGTTAACATATATAACAAACAAAGTAAGTGTTTTAAGTTTTGTTTCCATCTTAAAATGCTACAACTTCATTAAAAGAAAATGCAGAAATGTGAAAGAAAAACTTTATTCATAGAGCCACTCTGATAAAACTAACATTTCAGCATCTCATATTTTAGATTATTTTCAGAGTATTAAATTTACTATGGTCATACTAGAGTTAGAATTCTGCATATGGTGGTTTTTTAACTGGTTTAGAAATTTCGCTACCAAAAACACTAGTTAGACTGAAATTCACGTAATCTCTTCCTTATATATATTTAGATTGCTTTCAATCTTTTTCCTTTACAATATGGTAGTAGTTCTTTCTTTTTAATGAAGCTTATGTTTTCCAGTCTCGGATTAAGGAGTAAGTTTTGAATGACTTCACACTCCCCTGACTATTCTCCCGTGATCCCCTCCATTCCCTCGTGCACCACTGATGTAATTTATGGCTCTGGCTTCTTATTTGTTTGAAATTGATCCCTTAAGAGGTGATTTCCCGGTGTCTTCAATTATTCTTTTAAATGATGCCTTAGGCTACCGCCTGGCACAGCAGTGCCCTCACCTTCTGCCTCCCGCCTTCCAAGCCTGGAGCTGGGCTGCCAGGCTGGCTGTGCCCCCTCCTGTCCTTAGAGTTACCGCCAGAGTCCCAGCAGAGGTCCAGATTAACCCCTTTTGTTAGCAGAGGTAATTTGCCTGGGTTTAGCATTAATAAGGAGTGCCACAAGCAGTTGGGGTCAGAGAGAATGGATGTGTCAAGCCCCAGGGTTAATTTAGTAGCAATCTGTTAAGCTGCCAGTGTTGTGTTAGCAGTGAATCCAATGTTATGTTTTGCATTTGCCACTTACTTCTTTGGGAAAACAAGGAAATAATTTGGACAGAGAGCTCTGTGCATAGAGGGAAAAATCGGTTGTCAAAATGTATCATTCTATTTCCAAAATAATCTGGGGGCCATATGGTATTCATCTCTTTTCTTCCTTCCCAACACCAAGGGCAAAAATGCTGAAAATGCATATCTCCTTTCAGAACATTATGAGAGGTAAAGGGATGCAGTGGATTTTTTTAGAGGAGGTAATGTGAAGTTTCCATCAATCTTCCCCATAAACCAGTGAATTTTTAGCAACTAGACTCTCAAATATGTTTCTAAAACTCACCAAGTTCTCTTTTAAAAAATGAACCAAGAATCCCTTGTCAGGTTTTGAATCCCAACTTATGATCTAAAAAGTTATTATCATAGTACATAAATATTCTGCTTCTTAAAAATGTCCTCACCAAAGGAACAGGGAAAGTAAGAGGACACAGGCCCAAAACACAAGAGAAAGAGCTGCCCTCTATCTCAGCCACAAAAGAGTATCACTAAACTTACAGAATGCCTGATTGCACCTCAGAACCAGGTGACGAGCTCAGACTGGGGGAGGCCACTCTTCAGACAGCGAACACAGTATTGTAACCAAGAACCTGGACAGTGGAGTTGTATGAGCTCAGGTTCAGCTCCCAGCTCTACCTGCTGTGAATCATATGCCCTTGTGTAATTCTTCCTAGTCACTGTTTCCTTTGTCAGTAAAATGGGATGGTTAGTAGTACAACCTCTTAAGGCTGAGGCGAGGGGCAAGTGAGACCACAGGCTCAGTGCTTAGCACAGGACAGGCCCTACTTTTGGCAAACATCGATTGCTCATTGTTATGAGCACCCTCCTCATCTTTATCAACAAGGTTGGTTGTTGCTGTCATGACCCCACCCCACCACCATTCCACGCTGGGTGTTGACTCCAAGAAGCTCTGAGCTGCATCTCCCCAGATCTTTATTTTTGTTTCTAAGACAGGGTATCACTGAGTTGCCCAGGCTGGCCTCCTCCTCATCCCTCACACTCCTGAGAGGCTGAAATTACACGTATGCACAGTCCTGCCCAGCTATTACCATGGTTATTAGGAAGAAGGTAACTGGGCATGGTGGCACATGCCTGGAATCCCAGCACTTGGGAGGCTGAGGCAAGAGGATCACTGTGCTTTCAAGGCCAGCCTGGGCTATATAGGGAACTCAAGATCCATCTACACTACACAGCAAAATGCTGTCTCAAAAAAAAACAGTCATCCTTTATACCCTAGTCCCAGGTCAAACCCAATAAGCACACAAGTCAAAAACAGAAGCTCAGGCCCGCAGAAGAAGAAAGCCTATGGTTTGGGGATGAAGGGCGCATGGAAAGGCAGGTTTGGAAGTCAAGGATGGGTGGGAGGAAGAAGATCCAGAAGCAGGTTCAGCACGCACACCCCTGTGAAAGTGTCCTTGCTGGGGGAGGATGTTCCTCGTGTCATAGAGATGCTTAGGTGCTTTGTTTTCATACAGCCTGACTTTGGGACTTTATTTTTAGATGAGAAAAAAATAACTGACTGTAGCACCTCCCTCTGCTGTGTGAAGATTCCCTTCCCATTCGGCTTGTGTTTAGAGCTATACTGGCAGAAGTTGAGAAAGCTGACACCAGATTTTCTTTGCCTATTTTGGGAAAAGAGAAACATACTCATTGGCATCGTATCATATCCAGGCTCTTTTTGGAGGGTGATAAAATCTGACAACAGCTGAGCTGAACGTGAACCCACGACCTGGGTCAGACAGCCAGAGAGAATATCAGAGCTGCTACCTGTAGCCTCCCCACAAGCAGCACAAGCTTATGCTCCCCAGAGGGTGTACTGGCTGCAGTGAAATTTATAATTCTGACAGAAAATGAGTTAAAAGGTAGTATTTTGTGAATTCAAGGATTCACATGCCCTGGAGACCCAAGTGATATTTGCATCTGTGCTGGGTGGGAGAAATTGTACCAAAATGTAATGTTAGGTCAGCCTCAAGCTAATTTTAGAAAGAATATAACAGGATATGTGAGAGATCATTGGAGGAGGAAGAGGAGGCACAGCCAAAAACAAAGCCACTCTAGCAACAAATTCCATGTTGGGAAAGCTCTAGCAGGGGCATAGGTGATGTGTTACAGTAGATACCTGCTTGGTTCATGCTAGTGGGATTCAAAATACTAGCACATTTGCTTGTCCCTGTCTACACTCTAAAGAGAAAACAGGGTTGGTTGCTTACTGAAAACAGAAGATGGCTTTTATCCATCCCTAGACGGTCTGTACCAAGTTATTGCTTCTTGATTCAGTGTTTTGTCTTCCAGAATGTGCACAAAATCTTGTGGGACATTTTCATCTTAATTGTGATACATTTGTTTTATGTATATCATTAAACTCTTGGTTTTAATGAACATTGCTTAGAGAAAAGTCACCCCATTTAAAGATAATCTGAAGAAAACATGTTGAGGAAAATTACTACCTGATGATAAATAGGTCAAGCAAAAATCATTAAGGTGGGACACAGATGGTGAAGTCTGGGAAAAGTGGAAATCACCTTGGTCAGATTTACTGTGTACCTGCATCCACATCACGAGGTCTGATACTTTGCGGGAAGTTGCAGCATTTCAGACAGAACCTCTGTTTCAGCCAAGTGCCTCCCACTCTTGGTAGGTGCGAAGAATCAGTAAAACCTGTTTCTTCACTCTCTCCAAACACCATATAGGAGGTGTTTGTTCCCATTGAATTGCTTTCATAAACAAAAGATCAAATGTGTCATTCCAATATACAAGATTATGGTTTTTCTTGATCAAAGGTATAATAAAAGAATACAAATTCTTGATCAGAGAAGAAAACATTGAGAGAGGGAGAAAAACAGATAATAAATCTAAGAGTTTGTTCTGTGGAAGTCTAAATCTTTTCCCCCATGTATGGTTGGCTTCTTCCAGATAGTTAAACTCCCACCCTAGCTCTAAAGCAAATCTCAGTTTATGGAGACTACAAAGTCTTAAGTCTTAAATGAGAGCAATTTTGCATAATTGTGGAACAGCACAGATTTTGCACATGGAAAGAGGTCCTAGCCATGCGTCTTGAAGCAAGTCAGTTTATACACTCAGAGCCCCATTTCTGCCCCTGAAAAATGGTTGTAAAAAAGTGTTACTTGCAATTATTTTAAGGATTGAGACAAAATGCATGGCTTCATTTACACAGTTAATGGCCTAGCTTGTGTTCCAAGGATGGTAGCAGCTATTATTATTATTCTTACCTACATTGTTAAAGTTCAGAGATTTCATGGAAGGGGATTTGCAGTCTATTGCAGATATCATTTATCAGTCTTGGAATCTGGGTAGGTATTTAAATAAGTTGAATTTTTGTTAGAATGAGACCATTTCATATTATAAAGTGGGAAACAAAATTCTTTGTAACTTGGCCCACTTAAGAATATTTGCATGAGGAGATACCTTAGGTCATGAATGGATGCTTTCTGCAGGGTAAGACAGTGGTAAAGAATCAAGAGACCTGAGTTCTAATGCTACCTCTGACTACTGGATAACATTGGTCTTAAAGCCTCATCTGCCTGAAACCAATAACATTTGCTTTCTTGCTAAGAGTTCCAACACGAATCACTTTGTGCATGGTAGATGCTACCATGCTGCAGTCTTAGGAGGCAGTGCTGTTGGTAACCCCCAAGCTTCCATCTCCTTCTCCTGGCTCCCTCCTTGACTCGTCTGTGCCAGATATTGTGGACATCAAGCCGGCCAACATGGAGGAGCTCACCGAGGTGATCACAGCCGCAGAGTTCCACCCCCATCACTGCAATACCTTCGTGTACAGCAGCAGCAAAGGGACAATCCGGCTGTGCGACATGCGGGCGTCAGCCCTGTGTGACAGGCACACCAAATGTGAGTAGCAGCCAAGGGTGAGGGAGGGGATCACTGGCCTCTGCCTTTGGGAAGGTGGGTAGCATTGGAAGGTTTTGATCTCATCTGACAAATGGAGGATGACGAAACCACCAAGTGTTGACCCACCTCAGGTATCAGCTCCACTATTTGTGCTTTGGGAAAAGTGAAACCTCGTGTTCCACTCCAAATATGCGGATGTAGAGGTGGCCCCTGTGCACAAAACGTTTAAATGACATTGTGATGTGATCCAGGTCATGCATTAAGATTACTTCCTGCTGACTAAGGATGCCCCAAGGTGCAGCCCAGGAAACTAGTTAAGATATGGTTAAAGGCTGCCCTGCACATGGAAATGATGCAGACCTAGAAAGCAGCTGAGTCCTAGGAGGATCTTGGCAGGAAAGTTAATTGGACTTGCTGGCCCATCTGAGAGGCTGAGAGTGGACCACTGGAGAAGGGGCTACTGGCTTCTGAGGGAGGTTGAGGCTATAGGGACCAGAACTGTAGAAGCCCAGTAGACTGAGTGGGCAACAAAGAAAAGCCACCATGGGAATGAGAGTAAACTACAGGCAGACATACAACCCTTCAGGTGATCTGAGGTTCCCGGGTCACTGACAGGAAAGCAGCTCCACGCCCTTAGGAGAGGAGAGCAAGGGAGCAAAAGGCTAAGAACAGACATAAGCGAAAGAGCTGCTGTCACTGAGTATTTGAAAAACAGGACAGACCTAGAACTGGTAGGGAGCGCTTCTAGCAAAGAAACTGCGCCTAAGGGTAGAGGTACATGGAAAGCCGTGGGAATCCATGAGCAATCTGAGCTACACGGTGAGCAGCTGCCACATACTGAGGAAAGGCAAGAGCCAAGCATGTCCCACCATCACCTTCTGCTCCGTGCTGCATTGCTTTCCAGTTTGCTATAGAGTCAGAATGGAAGACTTTTTCTCCCGTGGTCCCAGGATTTAATTTCAAGACCTGTGTGAACATGGGCGATCTGACATACACATCTGCATATGTGTATGAACCCCTAGGAGAGGAATGGCTGTCTGGTGCTCTTTTTCTGGCAGAGCTTTTGCACGGAGCAGCTAGGCTGTGTGCTGTAGTTGTCTGTGACTGTGAATTCAAGTCACGCAAACACCACAATCTTGTATCTTGTTTTAGCTGCTTTTGTTCTCCTTTCCTTAACCTTTCTGACCACATTCTCTCATATACACAGTGAGTAAGACGACCGGCCATGATAGCACATGTTGGAATGCTCACACTGAGAGGCTGAGGTAGGATTGCAACTTCAGGCTCTGTCTGAGAAATTAAGTGATTTAGCAAGACTCTGGTTCAAAATTTTAAAAAAAATTTAAAGGAGGGGAGAATGGCTGGGTATATAGCTCAGTGTGAAGGCTCAGAGCTCAATTTCCAATACAGTTTTTTTTTAAAGGTTGGGGGAGATAATAATTGTTATAACCATCTCATGGGTTTGTTGTGGGGTTTAGATGAGATAAATGTTTAAAATTCTGTTAATGAGGTGTTCCATGCAGTCCCTTTTTTCCATAGTAAGTCTTAAAACTTGACATATATTTTATATCAGCCAGAGTTCAAATGCCTAAAAGCCATGTGTACCTAGTGGCTACCATGTTAGGAAAAACACAACATTCTGTCATCTTAGAACATTCTACTAGGATCTTGTTCACTGTGGCTTCCACAGCAACTTTCCAGGACAGATACTTAACAAATCCTGACAGTGCTGTAATCAAACTCTGAGCAATATATTTTCATAAGTTTACAGAGGAGAGCACTCGATGAACAAGGATCAGCCTGTGCAAAGGTGATGACATTATATGTGCTCTGTTATAAATGGTAATATGTGATGTTTGTGTATCCAAGTGCAATGGTGCATGCCTATAATCCCAGCTATTTGGAAGGCTGAGGGCAGGAGGATCCTAAGTTCAAGGCCATCTTGAACACTTTAGCCAGACCTTGTCTCAAAATAAAAGGAGCTAAGGCTGTAGTTCAGTAGTAGAGTGATTGCTTAGCATGAATGAGCCCCTGGGTTCAATCCCATGTGCTTTACAACAATGAAACAATACGTTTGTGGAAGTGCAGGTGATTGATTATGGCTATTTTATGGAGAATGACTGGCAGAAGAAAATTAATACTCAGGAGGAATACCTGAACTAGTCATTATAGATGATGATGATGATGATGATGATACCCCAAAAAAGTGGAATTTTGATGGAGGATTAGTATCAGTGAACTAACGTAACCAGGGGAGTACTATCACAGTAAATTTTCAGAGAAATTAAACAAAAGGAAAAAGAATGAAAGTTGAAGTCTACCAAGAATAACAAGACAAAAATATCAGGGGGATACTCTACTATTGAACTTTGGCTCACATTTTTCTTTGGGCGGGGGACCACTCTAGGTACAGGAGTTACTTAGCAGCATCCTTGGCTTCTCCATCAGATGCCTGCAACTAAAGCCCCATTGTGACAGTCAAAAATGTCTCCATACATTATGAAATATCCCCTGGGGAGGAAAAAATACTTCCTAATTGAGGACCACTGACTCAAACAAAATTCAGCATGATATTCTAGGATCATGTCTAGATATGTTTAGTACTCTAACTCTGGGTGGTACAGCATAAAGGTAAGACTTATTTCCTGTACTTCAAGAATTTGAAATGTGACTTGGAAGGGAAGTTGTACCCAGGAAATATTTCAAGGGCAATGAGCAAGACAGAGCATATTTTAATACTGAACTGATAATACAGACAGTTAGGGATTAGGATGTTCAGCGAATGTGAGAAATTTGAGACAAACCTCTAGGGATGGCAGATGTTGAACAGCCAAGTATGAAAGTACAAAGAGAATTTGACTAGGTGGGCCAGTGGGCACAGAATGGGCAAAATTCTTAATAGTACATGGAAATCTAAACAATTGCATGGGTCAGATTTCCTGGAAAGGGTACGATCAAGTTACTGAGGTCAGATGAGGGTGATGGTTTATATCAAATTGATCCTTGAAAAGTCAAAAGTTTATACTCTTGTGTCACATCATGTAGTATCATATCATTCATGGAGCACCTGCTTTATACACAGAGGCTCACTTTAATGGTAGCTATTTCTCTGAAACTTCTGTACCAAGTGCAGCTTTCCAGGGTCCAAGCTAAGAGCCCTGATGTAATGAAGGAAGGCCATACAGGTACAGCCAGTCTGTCTTCTATATTTTTGGGGGCCTGACCTGTCAGCAAGACCAACAGCACATGCCTGGAACAGACCAGGGTTCCGATTATGCTAAGTATGCAGATTCTCTTTGAAGTCTCATATCTCTACTAAAAATTTCGTGTAAATTTGTATATCACCCTCATAAAATGTCTATTTTCAATTTAATAATCTATCCCACCTCCAAATTTCAAGTCAAACTGATGCCCTCAAAAGATGCAGCATTCATCCTTTGGCCCCCTGTACTTGCTGGGTACATCTCAATATCTTCTTTCCTCTCTGATCTCCAACGTGCACCATTGGTTTGTCATAGATATTATCAGATTGAGATAAAGACCATCTATTCCAACTTTCTGTAAGGTTTTTATTGTGAATAGGTGCTGGACAAAAGCTTTTTCTGCTTCTTTTGAACTGATCATGTGGTTTTTTGTTCTTGGCTTTGTTAATGTGGTGTATTACCTTTACTGATTTATGTATGTTGAACCATCCCTGCCTCTCTGGGATGAATCCAACTTGATCATGGTGTTCAATCTTCTTGATGATTTGCTGCACTCTGTTTGCCAGTATCTTACTGGAGACTTTTGTATGTGTGTTCGTAGGGAAAATGGCCTGCAGTTCTCTATTGTAATTGGGTCCTTCTCTGGTTTTGTATCAGGGTGGTGCTTGCTTCCAGCAATGCACTTGGAAATATTGCTCCTCTCTGTGTGTGCTATTTTGAGAAGTACAGTTCTCAGTACATAGAAAGTGATTTGATATAATTCAGCTGAAAAGCAGACTTAACAGAATTTGTGTTTTATGAAAAATTAACATAGTGATTTGGAGAAAGGAGAGTTGAAAAGTTTTGCCTTAGTCTGAAACCAAAGAAAATCCATAACCTAGCATAGCATGGTGGGTGTGGAAAGGGTAAAGCAAATGTTTTAAAAGTATGTCAGAAGTGATTTCATAGTTGGCTTTCATCACACATGGATACAGTGTTAGTTGCTGAATGTCATTCTCAAGCCTGGAAACTGTCTGAGGATAGAAACTGAATCCATTTTGTTCACATCATATTACCAAAGCTTAGCCATGAGTATTGATTCAATAAATAAGTGTGTGCCTAAGGGTGGACATAACTGGCAGGTGAGAGTAGGGATTGGTGGGGGGCTATCCCAGAAGAGAATGAAGGACTGGGGTTTGATTGAGGACACACCGGGCATGAGGTGATATGGTGCTGCCTATGGAAATGCCTTCTCTGACGAGTGGGTAGATGGGACTGGATGGGCCAGAGAGGGCACAAAAATCTCTGGTGTTCTCATGGCCCAGCGTAGCAGATAGCAGCCTGGACTTTGGAGTCAGACAGGTGGATATGAGAACCACATACTGGGGAATTAACTGGGAGGCTTGGTAAGCCCCAAATCAAGATAGAAAAAGTTATGACCTTAAAAAAGTACAGACCAGAATGGTTCAAAGCAGATACTTAGGGACCACATGCAGCTCTCACAACTCAATGCCTGTGTGACCGCAGGCAAGTTATTCACCCTTCTAAGTGTCAAATTCCTCATGTGCTGGTATAAATGCTTAGGGTAACTTCACAGGTCAGCATGTTCACAAGAAGCAGATGTCATGATGGCTGCCACCAAGGCTCATAAATGGCAGCAGCAGGTGTCACCATTTTTTGTCCCCTATTGCTAGCCTGCATTGATAAGGTACTTAGAAGCCCTGCCATTTTGCATAATGATTTAGCTAGCATTTCTTCAGCTCATACTATATGCTCGTACTGTATCAGGCTCAGGCATAGTTACCTCTGTCTCAGAGC